AAGGCAGCTGCTGTGGAATTAGAGGCTATGTCAGCTGCATCCAACGAAGCTGGCAAAGAGGGTTTGGCAATCCTCTGACCTTCAGTGACAAGAGCCTGGAACTGGGTCCTTCTGGTTTTGTGGCAAAGAGAACTTGCTGAAATTTGTGGTGTCCTATTTAGTTACCCTGATTTGTAATGCAGCCAAAGAACAGTTTTTTGCAGAAAGTTCCACACACTCAAACTTCTTGTAGTGAAGATCAATCTGTTCTCTGTTTCTCTCATTTACAACATCATCCACTAGGGAATTCAGAATGGGGTGGAAAAAGAGATATTCTGAGCCACTGGCAGGTACACAGTATTTCTTGTCCACCCTCTTGCAAGTAAGCAGTGTAGTGTCTGGTGTCTGCAATATTAATTGAGCTGCTAACAGAAGAACATCATTTCTAGGTAAGGCTATCTTACCTTTGGGAGAAGTGTGTAGGATATCTGCCAGGGCATGTTGTGGCTCCTGGGCCTCTTTCAAGGAGATTTATAAGGATCTGACTATCACCTTCAAGAGCTCTTGGAAGACTTCAACATCATTTGCAAAGGATGAGGGAAGAAGCTACCTGCCTTGTCTGGAGAGGAAGAGGAACTTGTTAGATGGTGCTGCCTTTTCTTCAACTTTTGAGGGTCATCTTGAGGAAGGTGGTCTTGAGGTACTGGTGACTGCACCTCTTGGCAGTTCCTCTTTTGTGAGGATACCTACTAAAGACATAGTCTCCATACAGGACCCTAGATGCCAGAAGGCCCATTGGGGTGGGTCCTAAGGGAAGGAGGAGGAGCTCTGAAGGTACTCCTGCCATGGAGGTTGTCAAGTCAGTTGTCAGCTGGTTCCTAGGGTCTCTTCCTTAGGATACACCTCAGAGAAGGTTCAAATGGGGTGCAACTTCTCTCATCTGTCAAGTCGCAGCTTATCTGGGGCTAGATTTTTTTTTTTCAGCTAGTCCTTTGTATCTGGGAGGCCGAAAAATTTCTCCCAGTGAAGAACTTCCAGAACTGAAAAATATTCCTGCCCTACACTTGGAGGGCCTGGTTAGAGCCCATTTGCACTTTGGGGCACGATTAAATAAGTATGTAAAATCTACCACCGAAAACCATCAGCAGATATGGATATTTTTATTTTCTATGATGCAGTTTGTGCCATGAACGTAGGATGGGTTTAGACGTTACAGGGATCACAGACAGGGAGGGAAAGGAAGTAGGCAGAAATGGCTAAAAGGGACTACTAGAGGGAATACAGGATCAAGGTTGGTTGTTGATGGGAGGATACCGCGCACATCCCTATCAGTCTGAGCTCTTGTCCAAAATGTTGCCCCACTGGCTTATGAGGCAGAAACAGATAGTCAGAAAAAGAAAAATATGCTTCTTTTGTACAGCACAGCACACATTTAACTGCTGACAACTCCAGACAGTTTAACGCTTTCCTAGTTTGTCTGGTTCCTCCTTCTCCTATTCTTCCACTCGAGGTAAAGTTTTGGAAGCACTTCTAGCTAATTCTCCTCCAGCATCACCGGGATAATGAGAGCCCAGTAAGTTCTGTTCTTCCTTGGATGAGAAAAGTTTAGGCATTTCCTTGCACAGCCTGTGGCTACCTTGTAGATATACTTCACTGTAGGTTGTTGAAGAAATCTCTATCATTGCATTCAATGATGGAGGATTACCAAGAGGAGTATACCTCTGCCTTCTACTTCTTTCTGGGCTTGCCTGACATTCTTGTGCAATTTGTGGTCTTGCAGCAACTCAGTGAAAAGGACTGACTCCTAGCAGGGAAATTTTCAGGACAAAAATGCATAGCCTAGGCAGAAGATCAACGCTTAGGATCTGAGGACCTCCCAGCGCAGAATATTTTACATATTGCTTAATGTACTCCTGGTGACTAACTGTCCTGTGACAACAATTAATGGCCACAGACCAAGAAAAGAAAATGGCATTTAGTGTACAACAAAGAGCTACAAATTAATAAAAACTGATGACATCACAACTTGGAATATTAAAATATCTGAAAAGCTGGTAGAGAATTCATTTTATTTACCATAGGTACTATTTAGAATGGCAGTATTTATCTCAATATTAAAACTAAACAGACTATCATCAGCTCAATATATGCCATCCTGTACAACAATTTTTCTTTTTAAAACTAACACCAGTGAGAATTTTCATCTAGATAAGGACTCATCATCCTAGGATTGCTACATCTATGGTTTCACGCAAGCCTATGGTGTTTTTAACTTCCTTTTGTTAGGAGGTGTTTATACCCTTCAAAAATTTTGCTAGGCCTTGCCAGTCAAGCTATATAAAAAATAGCGCTGTCAAGTGATTAAAATAATGAATCGCGACTAATTGCGCGATTAAAAAAAATTAATCACTGTGAAACAGTAACAGAATACCATTTATTTAATTAGTTTTGGATATTTTTAACATTTTCAAATATACGGATTTCAATAACACAGAATACAAAGTGTACAGTGCTCACTTTATATTTATTTTTCTTACAAATATTTGCACTGTAAAAAATCAAAAGAAATATCGGTAGTATTTTTCAATTCACCAAATGAAAGTACTGTAGTGCAATCTCTTTATCATGAAAGTTGAACTTACAAATGTAGAATTATGTACAAAAAGAAACTGCATTCAAAAATAAAAACGTAAAACTTTAGAACCTAAAAGTTCACTCGGTCCTACTTCTTGTTCAGCCAATCACTCAGATAAACAAGTTTATTTACATTTGCAGGAGATAATGCTGCTTGCTTCTTGTTTACAATATCACTTGAAAGTGAGAACAGGCATTTGCATGGCATTGTTGTAGCCGGCACTGCAAGATATTTACGTGCCAGATGCGCTAAAGATTCATATGTCCCTTCATGCTTCAACCACCATCCCAGAAGACATGCTGATGACGGGTTCTGCTCGATAAATATCCAAAGCAGTGCGGACCAATGCATGTTCATTTTCATCATCTGAGTCAGATGCCAACAGCAGAAAGGTTGATTTTCTTTTTTAGTGGTTCGGGTTCTGTAGTTTCTGCATTGGAGTTTTGCTCTTTTAACACTTCTGAAAGCATGCTCCACATCTCGTTCCTTTCAGATTTTGGAAGGCACCTTAGATTCTTAAAGCTTGGGTTGAGTGATGTAGCTATCTTTAGAAATCTCAGATTGGTACCTTCTTTGAGTTTTGTCAAATCTGCAGTGAAAGTGTTCTTAAAACGAACAACATCTGCCGGGTCATTGTCCGAGACTGCTAGAACATGAAATATATGGCAGAATGCAGGTAAAACAGAGTAGGAGACATACAATTCTCCCCCTCAAGGACTTCAGTCACAAATTTAATTATGTATTTAAAAAAACAAAAAACAAAAACCAAGCATCATCAGCATGGAAGCATGTCTTCTGAAATGGTGTTTGAAGCATGAAGGGGCATACGAAAGTTTAGCATAACTACAGGTTTCAGAGTAACAGCCGTGTTAGTCTGTATTCGCAAAAAGAAAAGGAGTACTTGTAGCACCTTAGAGACTAACCAATTTATTTAAGCATGAGCTTTCGTGAGCTACACCTCACTTGAGCTGTAGCTCACGAAAGCTCATGCTCAAATAAATTGGTTAGTCTCTAAGGTGCTACAAGTACTCCTTTTCTTTTAGCATAACTGGCACATAAATACCTTGCAATGCCAGCTACAAAAGTGCCATGCGAACTCCTGTTCTCACTTTCAGGTGACATTGTAAATGAGAAGTGGCCAGCATTATCTCCCATAAATGTAAACAAACTGGTTTGTCTTAGCAGTTGGCTGAACAAGAAAGAAGTAGCCTTGAATGGACTTGTAGGCTCTAAAGATTTACATTGTTTTGTTTCTGAGTGCAGTTATGTAACAAAAAAGTCTACATTTGTAAGCTGCACTTACATGATAAAGAGATTGCACTACAGTACTTGTATGAGGTGAATGAAAAATACTACTTCTTTTGTTTGCCATATTTACAGTGCAAATATTTGTATTAAAAATAACAAAGTGAGCAGTGTACACTTTGTATTGTGTTGTAATTTAAATCAATATATTTGAAAATGTAGAAAAACATTCAAAATATTTAGAAAATTTCAATTGGTATTCTATTATTTAACAGTGCGATTAAAACTGGGATTAATTTTTTTAATCGCAATTAATTTTTTTGAGTTAATCGCGTGAGTTAACTGCGATTGTCAGCCCTAATAAATAACATTAATAAACTTTTATTGATAATCATTTTTATGCCACCTTATAGCCATAAATCTCAGAGCAACCTTCCAACCTTAAGTTTGGTGCTGTGTTTCTTGTAAAAAGCTATCCAGTATCTTTGTATTCCTAAGATAAAGCATGATGCTCGGCATCATCAGAAATTTTATGGTGATGTTTACTTTTTATTTTTTAATGACCTGTTAAGTCTAGAATAAGTTAATTATTATAGTTATATAAATGTTTCCACACATTTGTGTTGAAATTTAGACACAGTATAACTATAATCACCACCTCAACACAGCTTAGTTATAACACTTTAGCCATAATCAGCAATTTATTTCTTGTACAAGGAAGAGTGTTTGAATCATTGGTTTCATAGAATCATAGAAGGTTAGGGTTGGAAGGGACCTCAGGAGGTCATCTAGTCCAACCCCCTGCTTGAAGCAGGACCAATCCCCAATTTTTGCCCCAGATCCCTAAATGGCCCCCTCAAGGATTGAACTCACAACCCTGGGTTTAGCAGGCCAATGCTCAAACCACTGAGCTATCCCTCCCCCAAATGTTTACAGACATTTGGTCTCATGTTCACTCATTTAAGAGCAGAAACCACAGAATCAGAAACATCAATTTATATAAACTCAATAGCAATAAAAAACCCTCTGCCTTCACTAGTAAGTATCACTAATGTCAAAAAATATAATATTTTGGAGTTTAAAGCTATAATGGCACAGAAAAATCTTCAAAAGCAAAAAAAGAAAAATTATGAATACTGACCTGAGAGTCCTCATCTTTAAATGACCGCTGTGGAGTCTGCTTAGTATCAGACATTTCATCTGAAGACTCATTCTTTCTCTTCTGCTTTTTACCCAATGTGATTATAAGCTTGCTGTTTCAAAACAAAAATAAGACAATGTTAAGACAGACTGTTTATGCACTATTGTGCATTTTGTATTTAATGTCTGGGACACTGACCAGGACAAAATAACTTTAATTTCCTTACTCTTTTTACTACCAGTACCATAGAGTCCCACCACGTCACAAATGAGAGGAGAAACGTAGGCCTAATTCTACTGATTTTGCCACTGACTTCAGTGGGAGTGTAAGACTTGACTTTTTGTGATTACTTAAGAACAAGGAGGCAACTTTACAATAGTTAGCATTTGATACTACTCCTGATTAAATCCCCAAAGGCCTAGTGGAAACATCTGTATTTCTCTCCACAGGCAAATCTCTCATGTATTCCTCAACAGTGTTAATATTTTAATTGAAATGTTTAAAAGTAAATTTATGATAAGCAAATGTGGAGCTGAGTTGACAGGGTACTTTTAACTGCATAGAGAGCTACAATTTACCATACTTATCTCCTCCAAATTACAGTACCCCCTAGATGCCATAATTTCTCTCTCTCTGAAACATGGAACTTCTGATATCTTTACTCATACAAGAAACTTTAGTTTGACAACAACAGTTATACATTACACAATTTAAAAGCAAATCCTATAATATGCAAAATTCATAGCATCAAGTAAATTATTAGATGGTAAAAATATGAAACTGTGAAGTCTGACTTTTTGCAATTTCACAAAAGCAAAAATTTGAGAAGCCTAGGTTTATCAACAATGGTTTCATCAGCACTTCGGAGGACCAGAGCTGTGCGGCAAATTATAATTCTACATGAAAAATACTAATTATTTCTTAGTTTAAATTCTGAAATCACACAGAGAGGGGCAATATCATTAATATCATTATTTGTTTTTAATGATAGGGTGACAAAATACATGGGTTTTTTTCATTTTTGAAATCTGACAAGTGCTACTCTTCAAGTGTATTCTCAGAGGAATAATCACAGAGTGATTACAAGCAAACAATCATGAATAAAATGATGTCCTTAAATATATACTTTACATAATATAGATTTGATAATTGCATACTATGTTAACACTGAGAAAATTGCTTTAGCATACAAATATCTTCTCCCACTTCATGGCTCGGCCTAAAGACAAGACTTTGGCCTTTATTCACAGCCAGTAAAATTATTTTCATCAAAGCAGCCTGAAGAAAGTAAAACGCACTAAGCAAAAGGACTGACTAGCCTTCAGCCTCACGTTTTCTTCTAGGAAAAGGGCAAAATAAGACAGGCTGATCATAATAAATACATTACATCTCCAACAGTCCACAGAGAAAATACAAACCCCGAAATGCCAAACTACCAATTCACTACTGATAGTGTCAATACAATAGTTCCCAAAATACAAAGCACAGTTGCATTTCAGAAAGAGACCAACATTTTTCACCAATTATTAATATCCAACCAACAAAGCAAGAATTCTTACTGGGAGGGGGAAAAAGGCTTTTAACAAGTAGTTTTCTTTCTGCTATATAATTTTGATTTCTAGTAGAAACTGAAATGTACGCTTAAATTTAGTGGCAGTAAACATAGGTTGGGCAATTCTAAATTGAAGGGGAAGTGCTTGCACATGTCTGTGGGATAGAAATTGGCTCCTGGCTTCCCTCACACCTCTGCCCCATCATATATTCTTTCTGTTAATTCTTATATATAAAAAAAGTTATTTTTCATTATCTCAAGGAATAAATTTTAAAGAATCAACACACTGATTTTCATATTTTTTCTTCAAAAGTAGCTTGGTTTCTTCTCCCTTGTGAATACTAATGGTTGTCTATTAGCATTTATTCAAACTTGAGAAGCTGAACGAGGTAGTTTTGTTCTTCGATGAACTGACTTTTCCACAGTATTCTAGCTTCATTTTCCCTTAAAGCACAATCCTTCAGACCTCCATGGATCACCCAAACTTGTTAATTCAGGTTTCCTGATTGATTGCCAATTGGTGTCCGTTTTATGGAAAAGTGTTTGACTTGGTCACTGCAACGTATGGCCTAGTCTAGACTAGAACTTAAAGGTATGATATCGGCATGTTAACTAGGATATTTTAGAAGTACAGTGTAGACAAGGAACACTGCATATTACACATGCTAAACTGGTTACGTTAAAGCAGTGGTTCTCAACCAGGGGTACATATACGTCTGGGGGTAGACAAAGGTCCTTCCAGGGGTACATCAACTCATCTAGATATTTGCCTATTTTTACAAGCAGCTACTTAAAAAGCACTAGCTAAGTCAGTACAAACTAATATTTCATACAATTACTTGTTTATACTGCTCTATATACTATACACATGGTGTAAGTACAATATTTATATTCTATTGATTTATAATTCTATAGTAAAAATGAGAAAAAATTCTCAGTAATAGTGTGCTGTGATACTACCAGCTACCTTCTACCTTCGAGACACCACTGACTTCCTGAGGAAACTTCAATCCATCGGTGATCTTCCTGATAACACCATCCTGGCTACTATGGATGTAGAAGCCCTCTACACCAACATTCCACACAAAGATGGACTACAAGCCGTCAAGAACACTATCCCCGATAATGTCACGGCTAACCTGGTGGCTGAACTTTGTGACTTTGTCCTTACCCATAACTATTTCACATTTGGGGACAATGTATACCTTCAGATCAGCGGCACTGCTATGGGTACCCGCATGGCCCCACAGTATGCCAACATTTTTATGGCTGATTTAGAACAACGCTTCCTCAGCTCTCGTCCCCTAAAGCCCCTACTCTACTTGCGCTATATTGATGACATCTTCATCATCTGGACCCATGGAAAAGAAGCCCTTGAGGAATTCCACCATGATTTCAACAATTTCCATCCCACCACCAACCTCAGCCTGGTCCAGTCCACTCAAGAGAACCACTTCCTGGACACTACAGTGCTAATAAACAATGGCCACATAAACACCACCCTATACCGGAAACCTACTGACTGCTATTCCTACCTGCATGCCTCCAGCTTTCACCCTGACCACACCACACGATCCATCGTCTACAGCCAAGCTCTGCGATACAACCGCATTTGCTCCAACCCCTCAGACAGAGACAAACACCTACAAGATCTCTGTCAAGCTTTCTTACAACTACAATACCCACCTGCAGAAGTAAAGAAACAGATTGATAGAGCCAGAAGAGTTCCCAGAAGTTACCTACTACAGGACAGGCCTAACAAAGAAAATAACAGAACGCCACTAGTGGTCACCTTCAGCCCCCAACTAAAACCCCTCCAACGCATTATTAAGAATCTACAACCTATCCTAAAGGATGACCCAACACTCTCACAAGTCTTGGGAGACAGGCCAGTCCTTGCCTACAGACAGCCCCGCAACCTGAAGCAAATACTCACCAACAACCACATACCACACAACAGAACCACTAACCCAGGAACTTATCCTTGCAACAAAGCCCGTTGCCAATTGTGCCCACATATCTATTCAGGGGACACCATCATAGGGCCTAATAACATCAGCCACACTATCAGAGGCTCGTTCACCTGCACATCCACCAATGTGATATATGCCATCATGTGCCAGCAATGCCCCTCTGCCATGTACATTGGTCAAACTGGACAGTCTCTACTTAAAAGAATAAATGGACACAAATCAGATGTCAAGAATTATAACATTCATAAACCAGTCGGAGAACACTTCAATCTCTCTGGTCACGCAATCACAGACATGAAGGTCGCTATCTTAAAACAAAAAAACTTCAAATCCAGACTCCAGCGAGAAACTGCTGAATTGGAATTCATTTGCAAATTGGATACTATTAATTTAGGCTTAAATAGAGACTGGGAGTGGCTAAGTCATTATGCAAGGTAGCCTGTTTCCTCTTGTTTTTTTCTACCCCCTCCCCCCAGATGTTCTGGTTTAACTTGGATTTAAACTTGGAGAGTGGTCAGTTTAGATGAGCTATTACCAGCAGGAGAGTGAGTTTGTGTGTGTATGGGAGTGGGGGGGGATGTGAGAAAACCTGGATTTGTGCAGGAAATAGCCCAACTTGATTATGTAAAGAGTTGTCACTTTGGATGGGCTAGCACCAGCAGGAGAGTGAATTTGTGTGGAGGGTGAGAAAACCTGGATTTGTGCTGGAAATGGCCCACCTGATGATCACTTTAGATAAGCTATTACCAGCAGGACAGTGGGGTGGGAGGAGGTATTGTTTCATATTCTCTGTGTATATATAAAGTCTGCTACAGTTTCCACGGTATGCATCTGATGAAGTGAGCTGTAGCTCACGAAAGCTCATGCTCAAATAAATTGGTTAGTCTCTAAGGTGCCACAAGTACTCCTTTTCTTTTTGTGATACTTTTGTATTTTTATGTCTGACTTTGTAAGCAAGTAGTTTTTCAGTGAGGTGAAAGTTGGGCGTATGCAAGACAAATCAGACTCTGGAAAGGGGTATAGTAGTCTGGAAAGGTTGAGAGCCACTGAGTTGGCGCCTTGACTCCCCTCTAGGCTTTTACTAGACCATTTTATCATGTTAAAGGCAGGCTTGTCCACACCAGACTTCTAAAACATGTTATAACATGAGCCATCAAGCCTTTAAATCCTAGTCTAGATGATTTAGGATTGTAAAGAATGTAAAAGTACTTGGGGAAATCCATGAGGTCAGAACAGTCTAAACGTCTAATTCTGCCAGCCTCATGTTGAGTAGTACCTTGCTCCACAAACAGTCCCATCAATTTCAATAACCCAGATTGTCCCTCTTAGATTTACATGTGGAAGAGACACTCTGCACACTGATCTCCCAATCCCATGCTGAAGTGGGATGGATGACAACTGCCACCTGGACACTGTCGTCCCCCCGTCCCATATAGACTCCAAGGAGACTACTCCATGGATAGGTGAGGAGACTGGGAGTGCGGATGGGTTTTGTTTTGTTTTTACAGTGGGATGTTGGAGTGGTCTGGGAAGCCACAGCCATGGATACTCCCAGATAGTGAAGCTCTGTTGGAGCTGTGCTGCCAA